TAAACACCACTGACCACCCCAAAATCCAAACTTGAACCCAATGGAGGATTTTTGGACTTTACCTAATGATCTGAGAGCAGCATCATCAGTGCAGCTTGTTGAAAAAACATCAAATATAGCTGTAGACCAATCTGTTTTTGAGGGGTGATAGTCATATGTAGAGCTAGAAGAGCACTGCAAGAGTACATCTTCAATCAAGGCCAGTTTTACAGCTTATAAAAGGTAATCCAGCTGAGCTGCAGACTTGAATGTGTCATATTTTTCCAATGCTGCACCACTCAATCAGGTTGTAGAAAACTCACGCATCTGTTTTTGCATAACCTTGCTCACCATGATCAGACACCCCTGCCTTGGTTTCTTCCTTACAGGCTGGTTATTTTATTTAATTTATTCTTCACGTTGGTTTTTATTTGCTGTGTTCAACTTTGTCATTAAAAACTATCTCTCTCCTACATACAGTTCTTGTAAAACTAACAAGCACCTAAACAAACAAAGAAAAAGATACCACAGGCTTTGCATCATTCAAACTACCAGAAACAGACGGGGTGGGGATGAGGGAAGAAAGATACAGCAGCATAAATAATTCCCTCTCCTCTTCGTTATCAGAGTGGTTGCCAGCCACGATGACTGGAAGGCCTGTTGCTATCATTCATAGTATTAATGCTGAGACAATGCTGAGGCAGCTTCGATGAGATTACGCCTGACTCTGAACCACTCCATCGGGTTAAGAATCCTTAAATTTCAAACTGTTAAGCAGTGGAGGGAACCAAGCCAGGGTTTGTTAATATTATTTTTCTTGGCTGAGCCATTCGCTGCAGGACTGACGAGGGGGGGTAATCTTTTAACACAATAACAGGAAGTGAAGATAAATTATTCAGGAGAAGATTAATCAGGTGGTACCTGTAGTCTCATTAAGTACACACTCTCAGAACTCGCTGTTTCGATAAACCGAGAAACAGAAAAAATAAAATAAAATTCTAGATAAATACGCCCAAGTTTGAAAGAGGACTCACATGAGTGGGCACAAGTACTGTGATGTACTAAGGATAACCTCCATCTGTCAAAGAAAAAGGTGAAACCAAGAGCAAACATGCAGCGCAGATGGGAAGTCAAGCTGGATGAGAGATGGGATCAATACCGCTGCACTAACATGGCTATTGGAGATTTACGGATACGCCCAATCAGAGCACGACCCTGTGCACAGATGAAGCCCACACTTTAGACCCATTTCAGCAGAGAGGGGAGCCTTAATCAATATGCAAATGGCAGCTGGTATGCACCCAGAATAGCTCTCATCAACTAGGCAGTTTTCAACAGGAATGTCAGAGGTCATCACAGAATTATCGGCTTATTGTAAGAGCAGGACAGCAAAGTTTGGAATTTTCTGAATTTATCTACAGTGTTAGGTTTTGGACCATGTGTGGGCGACATGTGAGGACATGAAAGCTTCAAAGTGACCACTTGATGAAGTCATTTATTAATTAAATTAAAGGATTCTGAATTTGACTGAAAAAGTGACTGGGCATAAAATTCAATGCAGGGTGGTTAAAGATCAAACGACATCTGCAAAAATAAAACTTTATTATTTACTCTGGAACCATTTATCATATGTATTTGGAACAATAGAAACCTCTGCAAAGTTATTCTCTTATCCATTGTTACCCATTGTTTTTCTGATAAAGTTTAAGGCAGGCACGGTGATACAGTTGGGAGAGCTACCATCCTTCAGTGACAAGGTTGCTAGATCGAATCCCATCCGGGGTCTTTCTGGGTGGAAAATGTATGTTCTCTCTGTGCATGCGTGGGTTTTCTCCGTGTACTCCGGTTTCCTCCCACAGATCAATAACATGCATTTTAGGCTGATTGGTAACTCTAAATTGTCCCTAGGTGTAAGTGAGAGAGTGAATGGTTGTTTGTCTCGTTTGTCTCCATGTGTCCCTGTGATGAACTGGAGACCTGTCCAGGGTGTCCCCTGCCTCTCACATAGAGTGACTGCTGGATATGGGTACCAGTGACCCTCGTGACCCAGAAAAGAAGAAGTGGATAAAAGATAATGGATGGATGGATGATAAAGTTTAAATAAAAAACTACATCTGATTTGAATACATTGCATAACTGTTGTGGCTTTAGTGGGATGAGCAGTAAGAAAATGGTAAATGGATTGTACTTATTTATGCACTTAAATGTATTTTGTTTGCAGATGATACTACTTTTCTTTGTGTGGGTGAAAATGTTGTGCAAATGCTGAAGATGGCACAAACAGAATTTGTGAAAATACAAAATTGGTTTCAACTAAACAAATTATCTTTAAATGTAGATAAAACAAATTATATGATTTTTAGTAATAACAAGAAAGTGCTTGATACTCCATTTAGAGTCAATGGAATTGAAATTAATAGAGTCAATGAGGTGAAATTTCTGGGTGTCATCATTGATGAAAAACTAACATGGAGATCTCACGTAAAAAACTTAAGAACTAAAATAGCTAAATCGATTGCAGTAATGTACAAAGTTAGAGAGTTATTCAATGATAAAGCAATGTTTCTATTGTATAATGCCATTATTGTTCCACATTTAATTTACTGTATTGAAGTCTGGAGTAAAGCAAATCCAATTTTTATTTTACAGAAAAGAGCTATAAGAATTATTACCAGAAAAGATTATAACCATCCGTCAAATATATTGTTTCATCAGCTAAAGATATTAAAATGTTATGACTTGGTTGATTACAATATCTTACTGTTTATGTATGGGGCCAACAAAAACATACTACCTACTAACATTCAAGGGAAATTTGTTAAAAGAGAAAGTAATTATTATCTTAAGGGGATGGAGATGTTTGTGAAGCCGTGGTGTCGCACCAGTCTGAAGATGCGATCCACTAGATCTCAGGGTATTAGATTGTGGAATGATCTGGAGGTTGATATTAAAAATGCCAAAACTATGTACATATTCAAGAAGATGATAAAAAATTGTTTTAAAAAAATATTAAGATAATGTGAGTTCATAAAAATTGTTTACAGTTGATCTTATATTTTAGCTAAGTTTTTATTTTTTTATTTTTTTATTTTTTTTATTAATTCATCTTGTTTTTGTATAGTAAATTTGTTTGGAGTATATTTTGGGGACAAGGGGCAGATATTATAAGAATTCATTCTTCTTCTGCTGCCTTTCTTTTTATTTCTGTGATTGTATATCTTTTTTCTTTTCTTTAAATTGTATTATATTTGTTGTTTGGATGAAATGAAATGAATAAATAAAACATACATACATACTTATATAGCGCCTTTCTATCTTATGGAGATACTCAAAGCTCTTTACAACACAATCAGTGCCTCATTTACCCATTCACACAGCACTCTACTAGATCTCTACAAAGCTAACTGAACAAATTATTCTAAAGAGACCAATCAGAGCTTTATCACATTCATACACTGATGGGACACACATCGGAGGCAATGAGGGGTTCAATGTCTTGCCCAGGGACACTTCGGCATGTGACTGCTGGTGGATTTGAACCCCCAACTCTTGCATTGGAGGACAACTGCTCTAACCACTCAGCCACAGCCACCCCAGTATAAAGTGTGCTTTGCCTCTTAAACTAGATCTTAAAACTACTGTATTATGTTAGATGAACAGCCATGCATTGCAAACGTTACATTAAAATAAAATAATAATAAAAATACATGGAAGCATGAATATATCCCAGGAACAAGGTCCTTTGGACAGAGGAGAGCAAATTATAGGTTAGCTCATCAAGCTTAGTGGCACATTTGACGAAAATCAAATGCGACAAAAAAACTCCACACCAACTGTCAAGCAGAGCGGTGGAGATGTGATGTAAAAAATTATTTTTCAGCCACTGAATTCATCGAGTTGAAGATGGATTATTCTGTGTACCAAAGTTTTCTGGAGTCACTGATTATGCTTTTTTTCTGACAATTGAAACTTGACCCAAATTAGGGCGGCTGTGGCTGAGTGGTTAGAGCAGTTGTCCTCCAATGGAAGAGTTGGGGGTTCGATTCCACCAGCAGTCACATGCCAAAGTGTCCCTGGGCAAGACACTGAATCCCTCATTGCCTCTGGTGTGTGTCCCATTGGTATATGAATGTGATAAAGCACTGATTATTCTTTGTATAGATCTAGTAGAGTGCTGTATGAATGGGTAAATGAGGGCACAGATTGTAGTGTAAAGTGTTTTGAGCGTCTTGATAAGATAGAAAGGTGCTATATAAGTACAGTTCTTTTACCATTTACCAAATTGGGTCATAAAGAACATTGGCCTAAAATAAAGCAGCAAATCTACTGTAAAATGTCTAAAGATGAGATGATAGATATGTTTTTTCATTAATGTCACCCATCTATCCTGCTATTTTCTTTTAACCCAGTTTTTCATTTCTGGGTCATGGGGAAGCTGGTGTCTATCCAGCTGAGGTACGCTCTGCACAGGTCACAAGTCCATCATGGGGCCACATGACAAACAACCATTCACACTTTCACTCAATGTTTCAAGTTACCAATTAATCTAACATGCATTATTTTGGTCATTGAGAGAAAACCCCTGTGTGCACGAGGAGAATGTAAACTCCACACAAAAGACTGGTAGGCAAACCTGCGACTTTCTTACTGTAAGGTGACAGCTCTAACAACTGAGCTGCCGTGCCACTTGTTATCATCATGTGGTGTTACATTTTAAAGTTAAAAAGGCATGCATTTTTCTTTTATAATGGTTATATTTATAGTGTCAAAGCTAGCCACATTCAGTGTACAATGGGAACATTCATATTCAGAGTGTGTAATAAATGTCTGGTCTGGCTTTATTCCAAAATCATTGATATACACTGCCCTGAGCGAGCAATAACATCTCGTTTTTTACTCCGGGATAGGGCCTTATATTCATAGTTTGCTTAATGCAGTGTCTTGCCTTACTCTAGACTTCTAATAATGCTGTGTTGGCAAACTGCAGCTTAGTCTCTCTTTCTCTCTCTGTTTCTCTCCAGGGATGATCTTTTCCGGGTGGAGTTGGACAGTGTTGCAGGGGATGAAATGTTTTACAGCAAAGTAAGTTTTTAAACAAACACAAACAAGAATTTGAAACATTTTGACAGCTGTATTCTGCTTTCTGCAGAAGGGTACATGATCATTAAAATTTACATGACCAGCACTATTAACAAATGTTTTATTTGATTTTTAGAAAAGGACATGGGAGTCAAACAAGAATGATATCAGGATCTGCAGGATGAAGGGCAAACATGAGGTGAGAGAGTCTTTTTATTAACTATTGATTTTTTTAAATCAACAATTTAGGCTTGAAAGGAAAATTGCAGTTGCCCATTCATAGATCCGTCAGTCATAACATTAGAGTCCAATCATAGGCACATTCATCAAATTATTCATCAACCACGGTTTGTTCTTTATACAATATGTTGCGTCAAGTTCTTACTTTTCTTTAAAATTTGAAAATTGTTTTGCATAATTGAATTCAGTAATTCAAAATGATGCAATTCTCCTGAAAAGTCCTCAATATGGATGTGTATTTTGATAACAGTGATTACCACGTCTACTGTAGATGGGGTAAAAGAGGGAAATGGACTAACTTTAGCCCAAGCAGTAAAATAACACTTGACCTAGAAGTCTGAATGACTTTGACTAGTCAAGTGCGTCACTCTAAAGGTAGCACAGCAAATGTATTAATAGACACAAGACAAATAAATGTCTGCCATATTGAATACAAATGTCAGCAGCTTTTACTCATGGCAAGTTATTTAATATTGTTTGTATAGGTTGGTACAAATGATTGTCCAAATTAAGGTAAAAACTAATAAATTCCATCCATGGATCAAACCACCCATTGTCTTTTACCTGCTTCTTCCATTTCGAGTCGCGGGTGTCACTGGTGCCCATGTCCAGCTCTCACTGTGCGAGAAGCAAGGTACACCCTGGACAGGTCCATCACAATAAACTCTTGCATGTAAAACAACTTTCAAAACGAAAGTAAGTTAAGAAGCTTTTATAAAGATGTTTAGGTCATACTGTATATGTGATTTGAGAGTTCATAAGTCTATGAAGTGAACGGCAATTCTTTTTATATATGGCATTCCTCATGGCTCCTTTCCTGGCCCTGTCCTAATTTCATTATAATCCTTACCATAGAGGTCAGATTTTGGGAAATGTATTGACAATTTTCACCATTTTGCTGGTAATTGATGCAACACTCAATAAAAAAAGGAGCAAGCATTTTTGGAAAGTTTTACTTATCTGTTAAGTTTAAAATTCACAAAGCATATCAGTTAGGGCTAAACAAACTTTTTATTACTAACTTTAATCTCAAAACCTGTTCTTTTCCAAAGATTAAAGCTTAACCATACTTTTATTTAGACTTTGACTAATTATTGAAATTTCTCATGTGGGATAAGATTAGACCTCTTATTGTCATCTGCAGCAGGTTATATTTTTATACAAACAGTGTCTGCCTCACTCCATGGCTTTTTTAAAAATTTGTTTTATTAAAACTAAAAAGTCTGACCTTGTATTTTCAAAAGGATCTTTCATATCATCATAGCTAGGTGAAAACACCAGATGCCCTTAGATGTTCCAAGATTTAAACACAAAAGTAGATGTGACTGTGTTTTTGCAGCTGCTGCTCCTGCTTATTAAAAACCATCTGTTCTCTTTGGTATTTATCTCCAGTTGAGCTTGACAGCTTAATTTAAGTCATTATGTTTTATAAAGTGTTTTTGTTTGTTGTATTCTTTTTTTATTCCCCTCAGCTTTTTTAGAGGGTGATATTATTAATGCATATGTCTTGTGTGCCACATTTGTCAAATTTTGTCCAAAATTTTGTAATGGTCATTACATGCTGGACAAAAAAAAGTTTTCTTCTTAGATTTGAGATGAAATTAAAGCCTTTTTATTTTTGCATGTTCTTTTCATACATTTATATCAGACTGCTACCATTCAGTGAGCTGTGTTTCATCTCATCACAGTTTGAATGTGCTCTATATCAAAGATCAGTGTTTTTACGCTGCAATGCTTCACATATTTTGTCACAAAATCTCAGGAAAAACAAGGCTGTGTCAGTCAGTTCTGTTTTGTGGAAAAAAAAAAACTGATTCAAACTCAAATTGCATAATTTATAGTTGAATTTCAGCATGAATGAACCATGACAGTCACATGTTTTTACTATTACATCATATTACAATATAGGTGTGGAGACTTGCTCTTCTAAAATACTAAAACATGGCACAATTTTATATTTTTGATTCATGACTTACCGGTAGTTCCTTTTTTTTTTAGTTTTTTGTGTGTGTTAATTTTTCTGTATGTGTGTGAATGTTTTTTTTAAAGTTTTTTTTTGAAGTCCTGCTTCTTGAGAATCATTCACACTGGTTGAACAGGGAGGAGAATTGTTCCTACTGGTTTAAAACTTGTTCAACCATCCTGAATTTGGACCGCGGTCTGTGCCCTCACATAATGTCAGTGGGCGTCAGGAAACCAGTGTTGTAAGAATGAGTTGGGGTGATATGTCCCAACAGCCTTCAGCAGCCCACGCCTGAATACCTCTTAGATTTCCAGTGCACAAATTCCTAGCTGGCCACACATAAACAGCACATATTAGGTTATTGTGTGTGAGCTGGTGTATACAGTGATGATGGATGTGGCTGATGGGGGAAACATGGGCTCTGTCCCCTCCAGGCACAGAAAAAATGACTTATTTAACACATTGTGAGAGAACACCTGACATTAAATCTGAGGGAGACAGTGCCAGACAGAAGCACAATGGAGAACAGAGGGGCTGAGACAAAAAGCTATGGTGCATGGGTGGGGGGTTCTGTGCTAGTCCCTGCTGGTCGACCCTGAGGAGAGCTGGGGGGGGCTGACCGAGATATGAAAGGTCTTCTTGCCCCTAATGACTGTGTAGCCTGTTAATGCCGTGAGTCACCCAGCAATGTGAGGAAGATAAGAAAGCTGCCAGGTCCTTTCAGTCAGCTCTCTGTGGTCTCCTTTCAATACAAGCGTGTGTGCGTGTGTGTGCGTGTGTGTGTGTGTGTGTGCATGAATGTGTGAATGCTCATATAAACATTCATACACATTTACTTGAAAGAAGCTATTTAAGGTTATTGTTTTCTGCTCCTGCTTAAGTCAGCTGTTTTCACTCTAAAATATACAGTACCCACAAATGTGGAGAAGAACGGTCTGTTTGTTTAGAAACACAATATAGTTTTATAAAACAGCAGAACAACAAAATTAATTTCACATCTTTATGCCAACACTTTGCAAAATCAATCTTTAAATTAAAAATATCAATTATTCTAAGGTATTCTTTGTATAAAATGTTTTGAGCTTTCAAAATGTCACATAACTTTGTTGCAACTTTTAAGTTCTTTGGAAAGTGTGTATAGGTGTGTCAATATCTTGCGCTATAAACAACCTAAGCACTAATATTTAGTCTAGCAGCAACAAAACTATTGCATGTGTTCTTGGCATTTGTGTAAATATAAATTTTCATATCATGAAACATTTTCAAATGCTCAAATTTCAGAAGAAATAGTGTGGCACAGTCACTCTTTAGTCCAGATTTGCTGAATTATCAGATCAATGCAGCTTCACTACAGATTTTCTGATGGCTACTTTAATCCACAACAGTTTCAGTTCCAATAAAAACACAAAACATGCTCAAGATCTACACTTTCTTGGCACTGGATTTCACAGTGTGGTACTATCGTGGTCGTGGTTTGACTCCCCACCATTCACATGTATTGGTGTCCCTGAGCAAGACACCCAATCCCTACTTGCTCCCCGGGTGCTTACATAGCTGCCCACTGCTCCAACTGGGCATATCTCTGGTGTGATGGGTTAAATGCAGAGAACCAATTCCATCATTGTATAGAAACATACAACGATGACAACACATAGCACTTACTTACTATGCAGAGTTTGTGGCCATAGCTAAGAGTAGGAAGAGTAGGGATGTAGTCTGCTCAGCTCCTTCTTCACCACAAAGGACCAGTACAGAGTCCACAATACTGCAGATGCTGCACCGATCCATATGTCAATCTCACGCTCCATTCTTCCCTCACTCATGAACAAAACCCCGAGATACTTGAACTCCTCCACTAGAGGAAGGACTTCACCCTCGACCCATAAGACCCAAACACATTTACTTAAAAAAACAGGAAACAAACTGATGTGGCAGCAAAACCTAGTCTGAGAGGAATCATGAGTACCACAAGGAACATGAGAAGCACAAGGGAAAAACTGAGACTATGGCAAGATATCATCAATGCACTGCTGATGTGTGAAGGATAACTGACAGACTATTTGGAATAGGCTCATGAGTACTTGGAGGTACCTGAGCTGGGCGCTGACCCAACAGGTGGAAAAAAAACATGGCAGGCTAGAAGAGCTAAACTGAGGGAAATTGCATGGATAAAGGCTCTGAGTCTCACAGGGGAAAATACAGGTACACTAAGCACAAAGTTCACAAAACCAAATAAATAAAAACACAAAGTTTGTTTTCTCAGTCATCCAGGTATATAACAACAAAAATGGTTGAATCATGTCATCTGGACTTCGTTTTTTTGTTAAAAAGAAACGTTTCGCCCCTCATCCAAGAGGCTCCGTCAGTCTGAGGCCTAGCCATCTGGTATTACCCAGAAGCCACCCTGACTCTTGTGTTTCAAGCCTGCCTCAGATACCCCTGAAGTCTGGCCTTTTCACTAATGGTTTCAAAAACACAAAGTTTGTTTTCTCAGTCATTCAGGTATATAACGACAAAAAAGTTTGAATCATGTCATCTGGACTTCGTTTTTTTTGTTAAAAAGAAACGTTTTGCCCCTCATCCAAGAGGCTTCGTCAGTCTGAGGCCTAGCCATCTGGTATTACCCAGAAGCCACCCTGACTCTTGTGTTTCAAGCCTGCCTCAGATACCCCTGAAGTCTGGCCTTTTCACTAATGGTTTCAAAAACACAGAGTTTGTTTTCTCAGTCATCCAGGTATATAACAACAAAAAAGGTTGAATCATGTCATCTGGACTTCGTTTTTTTTGTTAAAAAGAAACGTTTCGCCCCTCATCCAAGAGGCTCCGTCAGTCTGAGGCCTAGCCATCTGGTATTACCCAGAAGCCACCCTGACTCTTGTGTTT